TKSMAAAAAAWKYCYWAAAAWYSTWAAAAAATATCGAAATTCGTTATTAAAAAGGGAAAATSAGCATATGTTAACATCATTGGACGTACAGTATTGATTCTGACCGCAACWCACAWGAGGAAGCCTGACTTCCGCGTTCATTTTGTTGCCAGAATTCAATCCGMCCCGGATTACTAATTCGCACATTTGTGGCTTGGCAAAAGTGTTAATCTACGWTTGTTCCTTTAGTTAATGACATTTGGTTTTTAGATATCACATCGCGTTCCCGATTCGCGGCATTTCGTCTATCAYTCGGGGGTAATCCACAAGAATTCTAAGTGGAATAGCTGGAGCGTAATAATATATGAGTCATTTCTTTGMAAATAAAAACCTCTTGGTTTCAATTGTTTAAACCAATTCGAACCACCAGCTCGATAAAAAAGACATACGGACCAAGCTACAAAAGATTCGTTCTGAGATTTTCTAAAACATGCGTTTTGGGTAGGTACATGGGTGTGGCATATTCGAGAAGCCCCAAAACCAGAATGGGAACAAACAAACAAACAAAAAAATAAATAAATACAGACAGACAGACAGTTGATGTCCCGTAAGCGGAGACACCCTTGGGAAACTATAGCTTAAGAGCTGTTCGCCTATATGAGAAAGTGTGGATATAAGACGAACAGGAAGCCTGACCGAAGGAGAGGCTGTAAAGAAGGCTACCGAGCACTTTTGGTTATTACGCTGATTCTCAAGTGAAGTCGTAGAATAATTTGAAGATGCTTGAGTTGCCTGCTTCAGGTAAAATGACTTACAATTTGTTTTTTTTATTTACCAAAACTGTATTCAATCTCTGTTTATCAAACTGAAGCGAATAAAGTTAAAATTGAAGTAGTATGGACGAAAGAAATGAAAAGATTTTTTTCATGTGGAATTAAGACTAAGGCAATAGTCGACATATGCGTCCGCTAATACCTTTTAAGGGTATATAACGACGAGCGGTTTGCGGTATAGAACATATCCTTCAGTAATAACTGCTAATATCCTTAGAACAGTGAAGCAGGAAGGAAAAGAGSTGGTTAAAGCCGTTGTACAAACCAAGGACATCGATTAGCACTTTCTTTAATGGATAAGGATTAAGTGCAAAAATTCTTTGAGAGAACGCAAACTCAATATATAATTACAGAGCATTTTCACACTTCTTATATTAATAAGTATCATGCAAAACATGCAATGTGAATTTTTTCACACTTAGCCATTCCAACTACATCATGGAGAATAGCTCCTTTTCCGAAAACAAATATCTCGGATTTGTCGTAGACGGATGCCCTAACCATACACATGAARTTGAATTTATTCGGGGTAGAAAATTGAACAACGACCACGCCCTTTTMAATGAGGGATCATAACTYTSTGSTTCRATWTTTTCTGGCTATCATCCTCGAGTTTTTTGAAGAGGTTCCCCTAAAGCGTTCTGGATAGGGCAAGGGTTTAACAGCCCTGAGTGGATTAGGGAGGGTCGAGCCCTTAGGGTCTTTACGCAGGGCACGAAAATTGACAAAAAACAGCGGTATTATACGTCATCAAGACAACGAATAGTGACATAGAGGATATTACATGGGCGCGCGGAGATAYGGATTTTATCTTTGAGTGTTGAAAAGATCTCTCACGAATCAGCGTATAGTGATTTTCAACACGAGAGAAGATAAAATTCGTATCTCCGATCCAAGCGACCATGTAATATTCTGTTTATCATATAATTATATATAAAAGAAAATCATGTCGTAAAATACTTTTTTTACTTCAATTATACAGAGAAACCTCGAATGTATTTTGCATAATGATAACATTTCGAAAGAGAGAAATAAAGGTATTTCGAATTATATGATAAAATGGCACATTCTTCAAAATTTAAATGGTATTTTGTTATTTTCGGCACTGAAGAGTTTGTTTGTTTGAAGTTTATTTTCGACAGTGGAGATGGCATAAGATAATATCAKAGTTAAAAGATCGCGCGTAAATGACTAGTAAGTCAAAACTTATTCGCCGCGAGGTCATGTTTTTGCTACCTTTATCTAAGAAAAACAAAGTTATTCATACACGAACTTGTAGGGTAAATTTTGACTAAGTGTGAGCACAGCTGTGGGGTCACTAGATGACATTTTTCTAGCAAAAATCAYAAATAAATCGATGTGGAAGTACTATTGAGTGGCAGATCYAAGGGGAGTGCCAGGKGACGACTGCCCCCCTCCCCCATTGGAGAAGGCCTGATTTTTTTCATGTTTAATTAAATATCAATATCATTATTTCAAAACTTCTGTGTCCACCTTTGTTAGTTAGCARTGCAACAGGCTAATCGAGCAGCGGTTTAATAGGATCAGGGGATCAGTGTYATTTTGGGATCAGACATCACTAGGATTTTGGCTTTGGAATTGCAGGATTGAAATCGGCTGTAAAAAAAATTCACGAGATCAGGGTTCAGGGATCAAATTTGAAAAKAAATTTGGGATCAGGGCGGCTGAAAATTTTGTCCCACAAAATGGGACATTTGCAATTTTAAAAATTATACCGAGTCACGATCMTGTGATTAAAGTTAGATTTTCTGAGATCGCTGTTGTTTTAGAGAGAGTGCTAATTTGGCTTCACACTGGTCTTGTTGTTTTATCCGTTACCTTATGTCCAGTGATCATGCAATGACACGGATATCAAATAGCCTGGACGTTGTTTGAATCGAACAAGTTTTGAATACTCACTGGAAAAAATCGCGCGCTTTAAAGGTTGTAAATTTGATGTAAATATGATGTTAGTGTCTAAAATTCTGTAAATTTAGTGGAAATCATCTACATCAAATTTACAGAACTTTGGACACTTACATCATATTTACATCAAATTTTAAAGAGCGTGATTTTTTCCAGTGACTGTAAGGCCGAGTCAAGAATCTTCTATACTATTACTAAATGGGTATTAAGCCAATAAAAAAGGATTGAAAGACTAGAATAATAGATTACTTTGTCAACAAAAAACTAAACGCCTTTGTTGTATAACAAAAAAAATTAGTATCAGAAAACACCAGGAAATGTTGGCGACACAACATCCTTGAAAAACGCTATTTTTGCAATCTTACAAACCTTGTACGTAAAAAGGTGTGTTACTGGTGTGTTACTGGTCTAAATGATCTAAGGATTGTTTAAAACTATAGCCATAAAACTATCATTGCTGTGAATAAAATATATAAGACGTTATTGTCCATGGGATAGATTTTAGTCATGAAATATTCTTTGAAAAATGTRACATGATTATTATTTCATTGTACGTCATTTAAATCACTGTATGTAGTATATAACGAGGTTGAAATGGAGGATTTCCCGCCGTCGTCATCTCCGCGCATTCGCCGATTGTCGTCTCTAGCGTCTAAAGTGTTATCCAAAGYCAACCACAAAAGGACTCGACTCAATTCACAGTTTAATTAACCTTGTATTCACCTTAATCATGTTAAAAAATCTACCCTCAAGGAAACGATATGATTCAAACATATCTGTGCATATCACGCGGTCGTAGTGTTTTCGTGAAATTCCTTTGCAAAGTTCCATCATGACTTAGACCACAAAAACGCTGCTCCGTGGCGAAGATAGATTTCCTGACGACACCTGGGCCAGTTTAAAAACTCATCTTCCAAAATCCCAGGGCCACCTCTCAGGGAATTGCCATCTCATTTCTATTCAGCTTTGCTCTCCATGAAATGTCTAGAATTTCTTGGCAGATTTTCKCTTGTTTTCGCTGACTTTGACACAAGTTTTGAGGCTGTCAATTGTAGACTTGGTATTGTTGGCGTTTGCGGGGATAGCTTACACCGGAAGTCAACCTGCAGGGCGGAAGTCTTGGGTCAAGAGTTAAGCTATTCCCAATCAGATATTTCTGGGTTTTATTAGAATACAAAAGCAACCAACAAGTTGATTTTGTCCACATAAGAGAACCCTCACGCTGTTGCGAGGACTATCCATATACTTGCTGTGACGACTGATACACAGAGACTTCTGGTAGATCTCACTAACAATTTACTACAACAACTACTTCAGCTAATCCTTCACACATTGTACATATTTGGACGGGACTCCAGGAGCTTGCTTTTTACGTCTACAATCTTTAAATCG